CCCCTCATCCCCAGGCTCACCCCAGCCAGAGCCCTCACCCCTCGCCGCACCCCACTACCCCGCCCCAGCCCGGAGCCCCCTCCCGCACCCTGAACTCCTCATTTCTGGCCCCACCCCAGAGCCCGCACCCCCAACCAGAGCCCTCACCCCCTCCCGCATCCCAACCCCGATTTTGTGAGCAGTCATGGCCCACCATACAATTTCCATACCCAGATGTGGCCCTCGGGTCAAAAAGTTTGCCCACCTCTGGTCTGGGTTGTATCTGTCCATCTGTCTGTGTTGTGTCTGTGCATCTTTCTATTTTGTGTCTGTACCTCTGTTTGCGTTGTGTCTGTCTATCTGTCTACATTGTGTCTGTCCATCTGTCTAGGATGTGTCTGTGTTGTATCTGTCTGACTATATTGTGTCTGTCTAGGTTGCGTGTTTTTCTCCTTAGTCTGTCCGTCCATCTGTGTAGGCCGCGTCCCAAGGTCTGGCTGGATTGTTTCGGTCCGTCTAACGTGCGTCTGTCCATCATCCGTCTCTCTAGGCTGTATCTGTCTGGCCACATTGTCTCTGTCCACGCGTCCCCGTGGTGCCGGTGTATCGTTATTCCATCGGTGTAGAACGCCGGTCGGTCATGGCCGTATCTCTCTAGATTTTGGCCCGTCTGTTTTATCCGTCCGCCTGTCCCGACTCTGTCTGTCTGTCACTGGATCAGCCCAGACTGCGCCGGGCCCTTTCTCTCTCTGTGATGTCGGTCTGCCATCCCTGTGTCGGTCTGTCCGGCTCACGTCTGTCCCCCCGTCTGTGTAAATTCTGCCTTGTCTGTCTGTCCCTATGTCATGCCCGGCCATCTCTCGACCGTCCGTCCATCCGTCTGTCTCTCTCCCTGTTTCCCCAATTCTCCCTCTGCCCGTGCCCTGGGCGGTGTCTGTCCGTCTCTTTGTGCCTGTCCCTCTGTCTGTCTCCCTTCCCGCTGCAGCCACCAAGAGCCAGCCGCCCGCAGGCCCCTTTCTCCCCCCCCAGGGCCCGGGGGAGCCAGAGAGGGACCGGGTGGGGGGGAGGGAGCCAGCTCTGGTCCCTCCCCCAGCCAAGGGGACCAGCCTCCCTGCCATGGGGTGGGGATACCAGGTATCCCAGACTCCTTTCCCTTTCCTCCGCCCTGACTGACAGCCACCCCAGCCAGTCGCCACGGAGAGAGCCAGGGGGAAGGACCCGATTTCCCCCCCAGCCCGGGAAGCCCCCCTGCCACCACCGCCGGGTCTCTGCGGCTCCATCCCCGCGGCGCAGGTACGGCGGCCTCGGGGCTGGGGGGAGGGGGGAGCCCGGACGCCTGGGTTCTCTCCCGGCTCTGGAAGGGGAGGGGAGG